TGTGCAGACTGGGCATTTGAAAGGGGCAATGAGGGAGTAGGGAGAAGGAGCACACAGGACTCGGGCAGTCAGGGAAGTGAACAGTGGCCGATGGTTGGTGAGTGTCACTGTGCCTGCTGGCTGGCAGTGATGGAAGTCCGGATTCTCTCCTCCCACAGAGACTGGCCGCCCAGGCCAGATCCTTCCTGACAGTTACATTTCAAAGGAATAGTTTTGAGAAAGACACTCCTGAGTTATGGGAGATATATATAAACGGAAAAGAGACAAAGAAAGGATTCATAATTGTAAGCCCTTTTTAGTAAATGCTGGAGGAAAGGGAAGTGAGGGGCCTATTGTCAGGTGTGGGGCTAGAACAAACAGTAAATTCTTTTGACAGCCCTGAACTTTTCCTGACAGGAACTCAAAAGGGAGTTGGGATGTCCCAATGATTCCTGCCTTAGGCTGCTAGAAACCATGCTGGAACTGGTCAAGTCTCAGTGCAGGGGCTCTTCTGTGCCAAGAGTTCTTTGCGGTTCTCACCTTCAAAAGTACCTGGCCTAGTAACTTGTGCTTAATAAAGAGTCATTTGTTTATCCATTCAAAATACTGTAATATCCCTCATGATCAAACTGTACCTGAGGAGAATCTTTTATAATTTAATTCCGTGTGAAGAAAGGGCTTTTGGTGCAAATTTTTAGATGTACAAAAAGGTATAACTTATAGACCAGCAGTTGTTGTTTAAAAAAAAAAAAAACAAAAAGGTATAACTTGCTTAATTTGCTTACAATATTATTGAGTCTTTACAAATCATTGGCAAGCAATGGAGGTGCTACAGTTTAAAATACATCTTTTTTTTTTTTTTTTGAGACAGAATCTTGCTCTGTCACCCTGGCTAGAGTGCAGTGGCATCATCATAGCTCACTGCAACGTCAAACTCCTGGGCTCAAGCAATCTTCCTGCCTTAGCATCCCGAGTAGCTGTAACTATAGGCATGCACCACCATGTCTGGCTAATTTTTCTATTTTTAGTAGAGACAGTCTTGTTCTTGCTCAGGCTGGTCTCCAACTCATGACCTCAAGCGATCCTCCTGCCTCAGCCTCCCAGAGTGGTAGGATTACAGGCCACAGCCACTGTGTCTGGCCTAGAATCTTATTTTTTCATTAAGGCATCTCTTAAGACATGTCATCCTTTTTGTTGACACAAAGTTAGTGACATACAGCACAATATACACATATTTGAATTATTCTAGAATTTGTATGTTGGTTTTCTAGCCTTCTCTTCAAATAGTCCAAAAGGAGAAGATTTCTCAGTTTCTGAATAGGTCAGGGTTCTATATTGATTTAATGATATCTACATTGCAACAGATCTGAGCTGTGTCCTATTTTGTTTCTCTTTACTCATTAGATTTCTATTTTTAAATGGTACTAAATTGTGCATGTAATGCAATGCACACAGAATCAGTCACGGATGGAATTTTATTCCTCCTTGGCTCTAAAGAGTTCTCACAGATTTAGGTTTTGTATAAAGAACTCCTTCATCTTTCTTAGATTATTCCTTTTTTCTGCACTGCCATTGGTCTTGCCTTCCTTCTGGCCTTCATCACTTCATGTCTGGATTATTGTACTCCTGTTTTAACTAGTTGCTCTGCTTCCCGCTTCGGTTACAGTATTTGTTAGGATAAGCTGTATGTGACAGAAGCCCCAAATAAGACCAGTATAAAGGAAATAGAAATTTTTTTTCTCTCACAGACCTCTGGGAGGTAGAAGGTTTTCCCTACTGGTCTGGAGAAGAAATGTTGGATGGGAAAATGGGGTTATCTGGGAGCAAAGGATATGGCAGCTACCATATCATGTGTCTGGACTCCAAGTTTGGAGCAGAGCTGCTACTTTCTGATTGGATGATTACAGCTAGGAAATCAGATCCCAGATGCTTCCTCGTATGGCCAGCATCCTGTCTGGGAACGTCCTCAGTGAGCAGAGCAGGTGTTTGTGCTCCCAGAAGTTTCTTCTGGCATCTGCTGCATCGCAAATTCCTTCTTATAGGCACAGGTAGTGCCCATGCAAATATATAGCTGCGGTTTTGCAGAAAGAAGAACTATATCTCTGAGCTCAACAAAAATGTCACATCCTGCTAACGCAGAAAAACTTTCCATTGTCTTCAGCCTCCACAACACTAATCTCTAAGTCAAATCTAGTAAGTACCTCTTTTCTGCAAACATACTTGGGATTCCTTCTCAGAAATAGATTAAAAGGGACACTTCATGCAAAAAAAAATGTGGCAGGTGTCTATATGATTCATTCAAAACTGTTTCTTGTGTTTTATTTTTATCTTTTGAGGTTTGTTTTTACCTTGGGTGGGTGGGTATCAAGAACAATGAGATTGATTTAAATTTGTGATCATATTTGTTTAAATAAGCCACTTTTGGTTAATATTCCTGCGGAAGAGATATTAATATCTCACAGTTAATATTTCTGTGGAAGAGATCACTGTAGGTCAAGGTGTTTTATTCTACCCGATTTAATCTGATTTTTTAACTCATTCATTTTTCTTTTTGCTTGGGTAAATATCATTCCCATTGGTTAAGTCATTGATAGAATGTGATCTGGCACCTGTCAGTTCATTGTGTTGTTCTTTTTGAGTTGTTTTTTAGTTAAATTCATATCAATGACTAGTTATTGAGCACCTACTGTGTGAGAACTTCTGTTAAAAATTTTCAAGAAATACAAACATGAGTAAAATAGCATCTGCATTCCAGATATTTTTAGTCTGTTTTCAATTTTGATCTTTTTACAGAAATTGAAGTTTTCAAAGAAATTTTTAACAACTTTATTAAGGTATAATTCCTATCCTGTACAATTCACCCATTTAACATATACAATTCAATGGCTTCTAGTATAGTCACAGAATTGTACATCCATCACCACAATTTTAAAACATTTTCATTTATTTTTATTTGTTTATTTATTTATTTAGTTTGAGACAAAGTCTCACTCTGTCTCCCCGGGTAATGTGCAGTAGCGTCATTGTAGTTCATTGCAGCCTCAAATTCCTGGGCCCAAGCAATCCTCTTGCCTCAGCCTCCCAAGTAGATGGGACTGCAGGCACGCACCAGAACACCCAGATAATTTTTCTATATTTGGTTAGAGATGGCATCTCGATCTTGCTCAGGCTGGCCTTGAACTCCTGAGCTCAAGTGATCCTCCCGCCTGGGCCTCCCTGAATGCTAGGATTACAGGCTGAGTCCTGGCCTTAGAACATTTTCAAGCCCTCCCAAAGAATTTAGCACCTCTTAGCCATATTTCCCAGCCCCCTCCAACTCCCCTGCCCTAAGCAACCACTAAGCTATTTTCTATCTTTATAGATTTGCCCATTCCAGAGATTTCATATAAATGAAATCTTACAATCTGTGGTCCTTTGTGACTGGCTTCTTTCATTTGACTGTGTTTCCAAGGTTCATCCATGTTGTAGCATGTATCAGTAATGCATTTCTTCCTTTTTTTTTTTTAAGACGATTTTTAGAGCAGTTTTAGGTTCGCATCAAAATTAAGAGGAAAAGTGCAGAGATTTCCCAAATTCCCCCTCCCCCACACGTGGACAGCACACCCCCCCCATTATCAGCATCCCCCAGCAGAATGGTACATTTGTTATGACTGAGGTTCAATTGTTTTTTTAACCCTTCTTGTTTTATTTCATATGACTAATTTTCATCTATCTTTATTAGTTATCTCCTTTGTTACCCACTCCCTCACTGATCCTTTAGCCTAGGGGCCCAAGAAAGGTGATTAGTAGTCATTAGCTGATTAGATTTTCAAGCCACATTCATCTTCCTGCCTTAGGGTGGGGGGGGTGGATTTTTGTTTTTTTTCCTAAAAAGATAAGTACCTACTTTAAATCAGGGAGAGGCAGACTGGTGTACTAAAAGGATTTGGGTCTTTAATGTTAGAGGAAGCTAGATATGAACCCTAGTTTTGCCTTTGGCAATTTTTTTTTTATCTTCTAAAAGCCTCTGCCTCCTTATCTGTGAAATGAGCAAGATAATGCTTATCTCTAGCAGTTATTGGCAAGATTCGTGCAATAAGCATGGAAAGCACCCTTCTGGATCCCGGCACTTGGAAGGTTAAAGGAAAGGAAACTAGAATTATGGGTGAAAAAAATCCCCTAGCTTTCCAATGCCTCACTGCCACGGAGTAAGCACTCCTAACAGGCTGTCCTAGTGTCCCCTTGACAGCCTCAAGTTTGGTGGTGGGGCATGGGTTTGGACAGGATACCTAGAGGGGAGCACACCTAACTTCCAGGAGTGATCCTGGAAAGGCTAAATAAATCACACATTCATTAATTTTTTCATTGAACGTCTCTTCCAGGAAGCCCTCCGAGTTTAGAAGGTTTAGCAACAGGACTCTGATTCAAGTCTACTTTTTGGTTTATTTGGAAGCTGCCTGGATAAAAAATTTAAAAAAAATATATACTGAAGGATACATAAAAAGATCCTGGTAGAGGATTCTTTCGTCTGCAGATCTCACTGACTCTCAGATTAGACGATGGCTTATCAATCTCAACCCCTTCCTATGACAGACAGACAAGGAAAGGCTTTCGTGCTGCCCTGGGTCCTCTCACAGTAGCCTAGCGGGAGCTGGCCCTCGAAATGATGGAGGAACAAATGAATGGAAGGATGGAGAAATAAATGATGAAGGATGAATGAATGAGACGAGGTGCTGGCTTGCTGCTGGTTCCTTCACAACTGCCTTTAAGATTCTTAGCCCATCTCCTCCTTTACCACTTCTCTCCCTCTCCCCTCCGTCTCCCCTTTCCGCTCAGCAAGTAGACCCTTTATGGAAGCGCACCGCTCTCCCAGGGCTCTGCCCCTTCCCCTCGCCCCGCCCCCCCACCGCGATGCTCCGCCCCTCCGCCCTGGGCTGAATGGCAGCGAGGCCGCTGCGCCGCTCCGGGCGCTGATTGGTCGCTCGCGCGCTGACGCGCTGGCGGCCGCGGGTGCACGCAGGCGGGCGGAGCGGGCAGGGGTGGAGCCGGGCTCCGGGGCGGGGCGCGGGTGCCCGGGGGCGGAGGAGCCAGGGAGGCGGGAGGCGGGAGGCGGGAGGCGCCGGGGCCGTTTAAGCGGCCTCCCTCCCGCCCCCAGCCGCCTGGTCTGGCCCCGGCCCTGTCCCGACCCCCGGCCTGGCCCACTCCGGCCCACCCGGCCGAGCGGCTCTGAGGGGCACGCAGGCGGGCTCCCGAGCAGCCCAAGCCCATGAGGGCCTCGCGCCCGGCCGCCGGTGCTGACGAGACGGAGCTCCAGGAGAAGCGGAGGATCAATGCGGTTCAAGAATCGATTCCAGCGGTGAGAGGGATGGTGCCCCCGCCCCGCAGCCCGTGCCCGGAGCGGTCCCCGGATCCCGCCTCTACGCGCGTGGGTCCCGGCTCCTCACCTGGATCCATCCCCGGTGGATCCCGCGCCTTGGCCGGGGACCAGCTCCCGGGAGGTTCCCTGCCCTGCTGGCCCCGGGCGAACCCCTGTCTCCCAGGACGGGAGCTCGTGCCTGACTCGGGTCTCCCTTCGTGATCTGTGGACCGCGGATGGATTCCCAGACCCGGCGCCCCGAGCCTGCCCTCCTTCCCGAGGATCCCTTTGCTCACGGGGCTTCACCCTCCCGACTGCCATCCAGGCTGGGCTCTTGCTAGCTGTGGGGACCCGAATCCAGCCTCAGGGGCCGCCCCCGAGTCCTCCGACCTGGCTTTGGCCTCTATCCCTTGAGGTCCAGGGTGGGGGTCTCCCGGGGCTCGGAACTGGGGGGTAGCTGCTTCACCCTGCGGAGAGGTAATTGTCGTAAAGCGGGGGTGCTGGGCGTTTTAGATGCTTTGTTTGTGAACGGCTCTAGCAACAGGGAAACTGAGGCACGCCCCGCTGGCTGAACCTTGCCTGGACATGTCAGGGCCTTGCTGGTTCTCAGGCTTCGCGTCCCAGGGAGGTAGGGAGGTGCTATTTTGGGGATCCGCGGAGGGGCAAGTTGGCTTTTGGGTGGTGAGACCTGCTGTGGAGGCGCCTGTGTTAGGAAACGAGGAGGAGGAACCCAGGAGGCGCCACCGGAAGGCTGGCTGGCTGCCCGCTCACCGAACTGGTGGGAACACCAGGCTGGGGGGCACAGTGGCCTTCCCCCACTCTGGGTTTCTGCCGTCTAGCAGTGGATGGAGGCTAGCCCATGGTTCTGAGAAGAACTCTGAGCCTTTCTTTTTCGTTTAAGTGGGTGAAAGTTCACCTCTCTTGTGTTTGTGGTAACTCTCCATCCTTTTGTCTGATCCAGCAGCCGTCCCCAATCCCAGACCTTCACCTCCAGCAGGCTAGCTTAGTGTGCAGTGACAAGGGGAATTGGAAAGAAGAGATGCATGAAATCATCCAAGGGGGCTATTGTTACTGAGTTTTTAAACACTGCCTTTTATTTCAGAATTTTAAAATGCATTTTTTTTTCTTTCCAATCTCTATTCCCTCACTGCCCACTCACCCATTATGCTTATCTCATTCCTCTCCCAGTCCCAAAGGGTAAAGAAGCCAAAAAATGCAAAGGAAGAGTTGTGGTGGCTTATGCCATCAGGAGGGGATCAGCTTGAAGACTTGGGTTGACTTCTGAATGTTGTTTGTCACTCAGGATATGGAATGCCTGGCATTATGGGGAATTCCCATTCCCCAGTGGGAAATTCGTATCAGTGTTTCTAAGGGCAAAAAGGAACCTTAGTGTTCTGGCTTTAGAACTTGATGTCAGGAATGAAAACTGGAGGGGCCTTAGGGGAGGCTGTAACATATGTTCAGGCATGATCAGTGAAGCCCTGGTGTGGTTTGTTTGATTTGGTTTTAACTTCTCTGCACATCTATGTTCTTCCTGTTTTCAGAGAACAGTGGCGATATTTTGTGAAATTACCCCTTCCCTATTTGATTAAGAGTTTGTATTTCTGTATTTCTTTCCTGTCCTTTTGAATTCTTCTCTAGAAAGAAAAAAAAAAGCATGTTTCATTATTTGTTGCACAAACATTAAAAGTGTTAAAAGAAATGAAAAAAAAAAACACTTAGGATGCTACCATCTCAGCTAATTAAACTGCCTTTTTTTTTTTTTGATGGACACTTGTCTCTCCAATCCTTATTAGCACAGTTATAATTGATTTTGCACTCTGTATTTTTATTTAAAAATACTAGCATTTTCTTTTGGTGTGGCATAGACTGTAATTTTCTGAGTGCACAGCATTGTACTCAATGGATATTTAACAGTTTCTTCCTTGATGACATCTAGACCTAGAATTTTCTTTGAAGATTCAAATGATCTCATAATTTCCTGTTTCTCTATTATAGGGTAGATTGGAAAGATATTTCTGAGCATCAATTTGAACTTGGAAATAAAGCCTGCAAAAATATATATGTGATAAGAAGGTCCTTATTTTTGTGGTTCACACGTTAAAATGTTGAGAATACTATTCTGCACCTTTTAAGGCTGTGTTCACTATACATCTTTCTGAGCATTCACAAAATTACAAAGGAACTGGAAGAGGGGCACACTGTCTTTGAAGCAGGATGTGCTCCTTCCAATGATGGGTTTATTGGGAATGGATGAGGAACATGAGGGCTTATGCAATTATGGCCTCTCAAAAAGCCTGAGATGCAAAAAATTCCACTGGGACACAGAGACATATTTTATCTTCCTTGCTTTATCCCTTTCACACTTGAGTCTCCCTAAGACTCGCACATACAGACAGACACACACACAAAATCCCTTCTCTCCCCTTCACAGAATCTCTGACTGATGATTACTGCTAACATTTATTGAGTGCCTTTCTGTGCTAACCACTGGCTGGGTACTTGTATATTACTCATCTCATCTTCAACTATGACTCTGGAAAATGTAAATTTTATACCCATTTAATAGAAAAGCAAATAGATTTAGAAGAGAGTAAAAGAGAACTTGCCCATAGTCACACAGCTAGGAAAGGGAAGACTCGAGAGATCGATTTCTTGTCTCTCTCCCCCCACCACCCATGCTGCTAGCTCACCTCTTTCTATCACCCTGCCCACACCATAACACCTATGTGTTTTGCTTAGAGGCTTGGGACCCACAGAGCTTCTACTGTATCTTCTTGGTGCATACTAATTTCTTCAGCCTTGCATCCAAAAATCCAAGAAAAAGGATCCTTTTTTTTTCATCCCCAGTCTCCTGACCAATGGTTAGCTTCAACATTAAATGTAGAAAAGCATCTTATTCTAAAGCATTAGGGAGTCTTCCAGGCTTGCCTGTTGTCTATTTTGCATGTCCTTAGCGCATTGAATGATAGGTATGGGGTAGTCTTTGTTAAGTCAAGAGTACCACTATTGGCAACTCAGTGGACACTGTTCTTAACAAATATCACGGTCAGTCATAAAGGGAGCTAGTAGTAAGGTGCCTTGTACAGGGGTTGACTTATGTTGCAACATCAAGCGATGTTGAAGGGGCCCTTGGAATATCGATTGTCTTTACCTGTAAGAGTTTTCTTTTCATGAGATTCAGGGTTCTTTTAGCTCCAGGACTGGCTGTTTCTCTTACAGAACCTGTTGAGTCACCAGTAAAACTAATTGACTATGTGATATCTCTCTGTTAATACAGATTAGTTCAGCAGTAGCTAGGATGTCTGTCTTTGTATTCATTCATTCAACAATCATTTATTAAGCTCCAGCAATAAGCTAGGCCTTGTGCTTGAGATTGGAAATGGGATGGTGAACAAGACAGCCTTCATGGAATTCACATTATTTGGGGAAAGATCAAATAAACAAGTTTTTAAAAAAACATATTCTTACCAATTGTTATAAGGACTCTGGTTGCGTGGGGAGGGCCGAAGTGGTGCTTTAGGTAGGATGATCTGGAAAACCTCTTTCCTGAGGAGGTCACATCTGACACTTCCTCTCACATGACATTGTTTTCTGACATGACATTCTCTACATGAGCTGAGCTTAAAGGATGAGGAGAGGGGAGCATTTTGGAAAAGAATATCCTAAGCAGAAATAAATAGCACATGCAAATGTCCTGAGGCAGAATGAGACCTTGATGTGTTTAAAGAACAGAAGGAGGTAGTGTAGCTAGAAGGTGAAGTGAGAGGAAGGAGGCACCTTGAGGCTGGAGAGGTAGTGGGGCCAGACCTGTCAAGACTCTGGGCCTCTGACATGTTGCAATACTGTCCTAAGCACTTTGGAAAGCCAAAGGCAGGCCTTAAGCTGGGTTTCAGGTGTGTGATATGACCTAGTTTTAATAGAAAATTGCGGCTCTGTATAAGAAGAGAGTCTATGTGGGGACTCATATTGCAACATCCAGTGATGTTGAAGGGACTCTTGCAATAGCCATGTCTTGGTCTTTATGAGGCCTGCTTCCTTTCAGCAGGAAGACCAGTTAAGAGACTTCATATTTTTACACACCTGGGATGTTGGTGTCTTGATTTAAGGTAGGAATTGTGAGAGTTGTGGACTGACTGGAATACATTTTGAGGATGGTGTTGACAGTACTTGCACTTGAAGAATGAGGAACACATGGGAATCAAGGACAGCTTGTGGGATTTGATTTTAGGCCTCTGAGATCTGCAGATCTACTTTCAGTGGGGAAGGGCTTTGGGCTGAATTTAAAGTGTGCTAAGGAGTGTCCCCAGCTCCCTATATGTTCTTTCCCTTTATATTAATAGTTTTGAAATTCTGTCGTGGCTGGGTGGGGGCAGGTAAGGATATCAGACAAGAAGGGAAGTGAGAGAGAGTGTTGAAAGAGAAAATGAGGGGATAAGTGAGCTAACCCTGCTTAACTAATAGTTTTCTTAAGCATGCTTCCCATTCCCACGACTACATCACCTTCCCTCCAACCCTCTAGTGTCTGCTAGTTACTCTGGGGTGACCATTACAGTCAGTCTGCGTTAGATAGAGATATTATCCATAAATGTGTGCTGTTTTCTGTAATACATGCACCTTTCCCATTCTTTTTGGGGGAAGAGATTAGGCCCAGTGTATGGGAGTTTGTATGCATATTACATCTGATTTTCCATTTAGGTCTTAGGAGTGGTTTCTTCAGGAGGCTGTGGAGGAGGCTTGATTTCTCTCTGACAGATCAGAGAGACATGGAAAAATTGTGTTGTAATTTCCCAGCAGAACAATTATGCTGTCTGTCCCCTTGAGCTCCAGACAGTGAATTGCTCCCAGGATTGTTGCCCTTACCTTTCCTTATTGCCCAAATCTTGCTCTGTCCATTAGGAGAGACTGCCTTAAGTCTCCATGGGTAAGACATTTTTCTCTACAACCTCCTACTTTATTTTTAACCTGAATTATTCCAGGTGGGCAGGGACTAAGCTGTCACAAACATGGCCATCCAGTTTATTTGCTTTTAGGAGAAAATGTGAAAGTCTATCCCTGTTGCTGGGTAATGGCTTAACTATTTTTAGATTGGGCTGCCAGAGATATAAATTGCTATTTTAGTCTGCAGCCTGGTGGTGGGTAGACAAATCCTATTTACTGCACCCTGCACAGAGCACTTTCAGTTTAATCAAACTTGGGGCCTTGCTCTTTACCCTTGAAAACTCCTAATAGGGTATGCTACTTATAGCTATGTTGTTATATCTCAGGGTAATGATGCGGTACATCCTTCAATGCTTGGGACACTTTTAAAGCATTCTTCCCAAGAATGTAATTATTTTCCTTTTTGCTAATAAGAGCTGTATAGCAACACAGCACTCTTGTCCCTTAGGAAATTAGTGAATTATTTAAAGGATTATCAGGGGAGAAAAGATGATGCTTGAAGTTACTTATCTATGTTTGAGAATAGTTTGTATAAATTTTGAAGCTGCTAGTTGTATATTTCTCTTAAACAGTTAGTTTTCAGACCATCTGGTGGATCATACCCAGTAAGTACATATTTTGCACACTAGTCAAATAACCCATCAGTGGGCCAAATGCAATATCTTCATTGTCTCAGACATATTCCCCAGTGGATTTTCTACCTGAACTGTCTGTTTTGAGTTAACAGGGACACCATCTTATTTTTATTTATTTGATCTAAGGATAACACACCCATCTTAATTCAGGGAAGAAGTATGGCCTATGCTTTTGTTCTTAAACTGGGCACTCTTTAGAATGGCCTGGTCATGTATTTTAGCTAATTTCTGGCAGCCTGCCTTTACCGTTTGGTTTAGCCTTGTACCATTTTTCATTGTGTGGATGAATAAGGTGTGACTAGTCAGAACTCATTAGTGGCAAAATATACCCCTCCCTCCACTTAAACTAGCTCCAGCAAAAGGATAATTTATTGTACAAAGCCTTTTGACTTCTAGCAAACTCCAAGCACAAGAATGCAGGGGGCCTCTGAAATCTGAACACTTTCAAGGCCCTTTTACCTCCATTTGTTTCTCTACAGCTGTTTCTTTCCTCTTTTATTTGGAATGGTTAGACTAATCCAGAATCTCTATGGTCCCCACCCCTCGGGCTGCAGACCGGTACCAGTCTGTGGCCTGTTAGGAACCAGGCCCCACAGTAGGAGGTGAATGGGCAGGAAAGCAAGGGAAGCTTCATCTGTGTTTACAACTGTTCCCCATTGCTTGCCATCTCCCGGTTCCAGTCTGGAAAAATTGTCTTCCATGAAACCGGTCCCTGGTGCCAAAAAGGTTGGGGACTACTACAGAATCCTTCTTGAAACTTGGAATGGGTACGGGTTGGGTTTAGGTTGGCGGGATCCTCACCCATACAACTGAAATGGAAGGATGCTGTCGTCTTTTTAGGTCTTGTGGTATTCATGTTTCTCACTCTTGCTCACGGTCACAAAGTTAGCCCAAAGGGGAATATGAGACATGCGCATATGTCTGTATGTGAACAGATTTTAATATTTAGATATATAAATATATTTGTGTGTATGTATGAATTTTATAGCCAGCGTATCAGGTAGTAGTCATGTGTTTGGTTTTTGAAGCAAACTCTTTTGATTCAGGAAGAAGGAAGGTAAAAATATACCTCCTGTTTTAGGTGGCCTAGAGGTAGTCAGGTAGCATTATCTAAGCTGCTTGATGCTGGAATAGGTAATGCGATACAGGGAAACTAATGGGACAGGCCTGTTAATCATGTGCTGTAGGATTTAAAGATCTGCATATATAAAGTTTTATAAATTTTGAGAGAGAAAATAGAAACCGTTCAAATATAGTCTATCCCTTTTCATTTAATGACAGTAACTAAAGTTTAGAAAAAATTCCCTTGAATTTTTTTTTCTGTTAAGATTTTGTTATGCCTTTTTTTTCTTTTTTTTCTTTTTTTTTTAGTGCAGGGGAGTTCCAATTGAAGGAGTAGATATGGTTTCTGTTTGCTTTCGGTTGGTAGAAGGTTGTTCTTTTGAATAAACTGAAAGAATGCTTAATCCAATAAACTAGGACATTTGCTTTAGGATCAGGGTTGTTGATTTAGTTTACATCTCTTTGGTAGCTTTTGTTTTGTTACCTTAACTAGGTATTTCCACCTGTCTCCTCCTCATTTAGAATAGACCAAACACCATCTGGCAGGTTTCCCTATTGTTCTTCACATACTTTTTCTCACGTGATGATGTCTTTTTGCTTTTACAGGTTCATGAACCATCGGGCCCCAGCCAATGGCCGCTACAAACCAACTTGCTACGAACATGCTGCTAACTGTTACACACATGCAGTGAGTATGAGTTTTCTGCCACTGCCATCCTTCCCAGAGGGCTGTGGTGGGAGGAAGGGTAATTCTCTCTAGTAACCTCAGCACAATTAGTTGGATTTACCCATCTCTGTGACCTTATCTACCAGGATATCAGTGCTGGGTCATGTTACCAGAAACTGTGTGAGCGTGTAGAACGCTTTGTGTGTTCTAACCTACTGTCTACTCTGTCCTGGACTTGCTTTCTCCAACAAGATCTTCTTTAAAAGAATAATAGTAAGTACCCTAGTTATAGAAAAACCAAAGAAACCTATTTACGAAGGCTGCCACCCCAGGAATCAAATGAATTGCCTTTTCAAGACAATAAACCTGTGTTTGTTTGGCAAGGAGAATTCACAATTTGTTGAAAAAGATGCTATTTTTTTTTTTTTTTAGTAAGTGATCCTATGAAATGGGGGGCGGGAAGCGACATCCTGCCACCTCCATAGTGGCCATTGCTTCTCAGAAAAGACGTGACTCTGTATTACTGAAGAAAAAGCTGGTGTGATCCCTAAAATTTTGTTAATTTTTTTTTCTTCCTTATAAAAGCAAAACATGCTCACTGTAAAAAAATTTTAAAATACTGGAAAATATATGAGAAAAACAAAACTACCCAGAAATAAACTGTTAACAGTTTGGTGCATTTCTTCTTTGTGTGTGTGGTGTTTATGAATATGTATTTTCATAGGTTTTCTATTAATGTCATATTATTGGCATTTTCTTGTGTCATTATAAATTTCACTTTATCTGTGGTTTCATTATTTACTTAGAAAGTTGAATTTAGTGTTACTTAAAAATGGTGGTTGGGATATAGTCTGAAAATCAGAAATAGAGAAAAAGATCAATTTACTTCTTTAATTGTTTACAATAATGTTTACAACAGACTAGTTTAATTATTATAGGCACAGTTGGTATGATATAATGGTCTCCTTTAGGAATAATATTTGCTTAGGATAGACCTGAATAATCCTTAACTTACCTCTTCTGAATATGTCACAGGTTAAGGAACACTTATAAAAACCGTAGTTGGGGAAAAACTGACAAAGCCTCCATGTTAATTTTTTAGAACAGAAAATGTAATTTTATTAAACTGTGTCCTGGATTTGTGAATTTCAAAGACCAGTAAGATTTCTAAAACAGGCAAAACACTTCTATTGTCATCATTTCATTAAAGAGAAGACATGAAAACAAGTAGTAAGGAAATAATATCAAAATAAAGGATATTCCTTTAAATCAAATAAATTTTATATTATGAAAAATTTACTTTATTATTTTTACTGTTCTCATTATTTTTACTGTTGCTCTGGGCCAATGAAAACTTCAGCATCTGAAGATTCACGCTGATCTCATCTGAGGGATTTAATATTCTATTGCAAGAGGGCAAAATTAGGTGTTGGGGGAAGAAAAGATAGGCAAATTGCTGAAGTTTACATTCTTTGTCAGGTATGCTTATTCTAATATCTAATAAAGTCATTTATTCTCCTTGGAATTTCTGTTATGATAAAGTGTTTACTAGTTATAATCATACTTATATGACTAGACTTTAAAATTTTGTGCCCATATGGACTATGAAATATGGTGCAGAAATCAAAATTCTCTCCAAGATTCCATCTTTTAAAAATTTTTGAATAGGGGGCCTTAGGAGTAGATTACTCTTGCTTACTTAAAAGTTGTTATTAAAAATGAAATGACCCCCAAAATCCCTTCACTCTGCAGTTGCTCCCAAATTGGTGGAATGTACAGATCCAAACTGAAAATCAGGACATACGATTTGCACAATTGACTTTGTGTGTGTGCATTGTGGTATTGTATACATTATAATACTATTGACTTGATTCTTCAGTTGCCCTTTGCTGAAATATTGGGATTTTAGTAGCTTATGGAGGCAACAGGATAGAATATTTTAAAATGAGGACCTCTCTGTAAATTTTGGGTCTATGCACTTGGTATTTGAATATATTAAGTGCCTGCTCTAAATCAGATTATAGGAACATGTCCCTATTTAATAAAATTAGGATAAAGTACATCTCTTTTGCAACAGTTGAGTAATGTTGCATCCTTGACTGCTTATCTGTGTACCCATTGGTTGGCACAGTACTGGGTCCCTGAACAGCAGTACTGTTTCTAGTGTAGCAACTAATAACTTCATCTGGTTCTCATTTTGATTATCCAAGAGAGGCAAACATTTGTTTTAAAATTACTTTTCTAAAATAGTCCCTGGTAAACCTCTGTATTTTTAGAGAAAGTCTCAATTCTGTAAAAGCCAAGATATTCTATTCACTTCTCTTTACCTTCCCCGCAGTTCCTCATTGTTCCGGCCATTGTGGGCAGTGCCCTCCTCCATCGGCTGTCTGATGACTGCTGGGAAAAGATAACAGCATGGATTTACGGAATGGGCCTCTGTGCCCTCTTCATCGTTTCCACAGTATTTCACATTGTATCATGGAAAAAGAGCCACTTAAGGTACAGTGGAGGCACGCTCTTTCAACAGATCCAAATAGTTGACTCAGCATGTTTGGTAGCCTCCCACACTGGCATGATTTAGACAGGTGGGGCAAAGAGCAAACATTTTCTTGCTTTGTAGATTATAATGCTGTCCTATTATTTAAGACATTTTTTTGGATTGGACAGAGTTCGAGGACCCTGGCATCTAAGAAAGCAGGCTTTTGCCCGGTAACCACAAATAAAACCCCATTGGTTCCTCAGGATTTACAGCTTACAATCCTGAGAGCTATTTTCTAGTGCTGTCAAGTGCACTCAGGGTACAGTGAGAGCAGCAGCTGTGGCAGAATGGCAAAGCACACTGAATGAGGGGTCAGCAGGTGGGCCTTGACTTCCAGGTCTGCTTCTTAACCTTGGGTAGGTCACTTGACCTGTGGAGCTTTCAGTATCTTTATCACTAAAATAAGAATGATAATGCCTGACTCACATGGTTACTGTGATAGGTAAATGAGAGGTAATATATGTGAAAATGATTTGAAAATTACAAGAGACTATAGGACTATGTGATACAAGATGGTAGGTATATTACAGTTTGAGTTCACTGTTTTGCAAAGTTCAGCTTTCAGAATAAGTCTTGTGTATATTATTCAAAATTCACATATTTTGCTATTAGTAACTGTCAGACACTTTCCAAACAATACTCTGGCTCTTGGCCTACCAATGAGAAGGACACAAAAGCTTTCTTCCTCTGAGTGAAGGATCAATTTGGAAAAGGCACACCGTTTAGGTAGGAGTGGGTTGCTTGTGAAACGGATTCTGTACAACCCAAAAGGGCAAAATTTCTTCTCAAAAATTTGAGATTCAGAGCAGATTAAGACTGATTTGAAGTAATACCCAAGTTTACCTTTTGGTTTTACAGAATGTCCCCAAAACTCAAAACTGTTTGAACACTCTAATATTAAAAAGCTATGCTTCATTTATGAGCAGAAGTTGGGATTTATGAGATGATTACTAGTTTTCTCATATATAGTATCCTAGAGTTTTAGTGCTGGAAAGGTCCTTAGAAATCACCTAATCCAAATCCCTTAATTTTTACTTGGAGAAACTGAGGCTCAGAGAAGTGGCCTGACTTGCCTGAGTCAGCGAAAGCAGAATTGGATCATCTCAGGGCCTCTGACTCCCAGTCCTGTGTTTCCTCACCATATCGTTCACAATATTGCATGTAGTTTGCAGTCTGCTACCTTTATATATAAGGTGACAGTTCCCTGGGCTCAAAATAAAGCCACAGCATTGAATCACAAGGACACTCTGGGACACAGAGGAGAGCCACAAAAGTGCCTGTCCTGTCACCTCAAGCCACACTTGCAGCACCCAGAGGCCAGTCTAAAAGGAGAGCTCTTCATTATCTTTTTGGCTCAATCCAATACTTGTGGTTGCCTCAGCAAACTTGGCTTTGATGTCTAGATTTCTGAATCAATAAAAAGTTGTAGATACCTACTTCAGTATTCAGGGCCTCCCTGCCAGAGGCTGGAAAAGAAGGTGTGATAGAAACAAGACTCTTAAACCCTGAAATAGCACTGCTAGAATCATAAGCCATGTGTAGAATTTTGCTCTGTGTTAAATTTTTTTTAATATTAAAAAAAGCCTTAATTTAAGTAAAAGAGAGAAGGGAATAAGCATATGTTACATGCTAGGAACTGTGCTAAATACATGGCCTACATTATTTCATTTAATGCTCACATGTACTTCGTGAGAGAGATCGTCTTTCCATTTTACCTGTAAGGAAAGTGACAGAGAGGTGATTAGCAGATCCTGAATAAGATTCTAGGTCTGGCTGGGCATAGTGGCTCACGTCTCTAATCTTAGCACTAGGAGGCTGAGGTAGGAGGATCACTTTGTGGCCTGGAGTTTGAGACCAGCTTGGGCAACATAGCAAGACCCCATCTCCACAAAAAATTAAAAATTAGCCAGGTGTGATAACATATGCCCGTAGTCCCAGCTACTCAGGAGGCTGAGGCAGGAGGATCACTTGAACCCAGGAGTGGAGTTCAAGGCTGCAGTTAGCTATGATAATTCCACTCACTCTGGCCTAGGTGACAGAGTGAGACTCCTCAAAAAAAAGAAAAAAAGATTCCAGGTCTGACTACGTACTCTAACAGTGTATAACAATCTAGAAAGCAAAATTAGAAAGTCTTCAAACCTTGCTAGGAATCACAGTCATTTAAGGAGTTTAAAAAATATAAAGAGTTACCCCTTCCTTCCACCTTGTCTCCCATCTTCTAGCCCTTTTAGAGTCTTCAGAACTGGAGTCCATGACTATATTATAAGCTCCTAGGTGATTTTACTATGTAGTCAAGTTTGAGAAGCATTGATCTAGTGTTAAATTATCTGGGAGTAAGCTATAGCTTTTAGTAACTAGTAGACTGAAAACCATTCTTTCTCACAAATGTATTTCTCACTTCACTAACAAGTCCTCATAAATGCTCTTTGGTCAACATTGTGTGATGAGGCAAAGTCTAATTCTAGTGCTCCATCAAATTATAGCTATCATATAACTTGAACAGTGAACATAGATTCAAGACGATGCCATGCATTTGTACTTTTAAATCACCTCAGTAAAGGGCAGATTTTATCTAATCTATTTTATGAATGGACCTCAGTGAGCCAAGGACTTTGAACATGCACTTCTGATTTTCAGTTTTGGAAGGAAGAACTTAGAAATCCAGATGGCCATGCTCTTTCAGCAAATGCACCTTTTTGTTATTGCTATTCCTATATTAGTTTGGATTTCATTAGTTTGGATTCATTATATGGATTTCATTTATTACACTTTATTGTCTATACTAGGATATTTGAAGTAGAAACTTCTTTAAAGACATTCTAAATCACACACAGAGTGTGATTTCAGTTCAGGGAGTGTTCACTGAGGAATAGGACTGTGTACTGCACTGTGATAGGAGTCAGGGGTGGTCTACTCTCCAGGAATTTCATTTTTCTGCCCCACAGGATCCAAAAGAAATGGAAAACATCAGAAAAGATAGATTTTGTTTGTTTTAACCACTTTAGTCTTCCTAACTATCATGGGGCTCTCTCCCTGTGTCTCATTCATGGTGAGAATATCTGTTATATGTACAACTTAAGAATGATGTGGGCCGGGCGCTGTGGCTCACGCCTGTAATCCTAGCTCTTGGGAGGCCGAGGCGGGCGGATTGCTCAAGGTCAGGAGTTCAAAACCAGCCTGAGCAAGAGCGAGACCCCGTCTCTACTATAAATAGAAAGAAATTAATTGGCCAACTGATATATATATAAAAAAAATTAGCCGGGCATGGTGGCGCATGCCTATAGTCCCAGCTACTCGGGAGGCTGAGGCAGGAGGATCGCTTGAGCCCAGGAGTTTGAGGTTGCTGTGAGCTAGGCTGACGCCACGGCACTCACTCTAGCCTGGACAACAAAGTGAAACTCTGTCTCAAAAAAAAAAAAAAAAAAAAAAAAAAAGAATGATGTGAAGCTTTTACTTGCGGCTTTGTATCATTAACAACGGCAACAAAAAGCTATGTGACTTTGAAGACCAAGTTATAAATGCCATGAGAAACTAGAACAAGAAAGGAAATTGCAACATAATAGAGTGATAGCCCATACTTTCATTCTGAAAATTTTCTGAAAAATTTGTCTAACTTGTTTTTCTCCACTTACTAGGACAGTGGAGCATTGTTTTCACATGTGTGATAGAATGGTAATCTATTTCTTCATTGCTGCTTCTTACGCTCCATGGTAAGATATAATCATTCTATTTTTGAAGGTAGTGTTTTTATGATTAGAATTCCTCACTTCCCCTTTCCTCTCTTCCTCTTGTTCCTGCCCTCAGCCCTCAGGTATGTACCCAACTTTGCTCCCCCAAACACATACATACATGCATTTCTTTTTCCAATTTGATTTATTTGGATCAGATTGCATATTTAAAGGGGAGAATATTGCTACTATTCAGAATGCTGTATAGAATATCTAGGCATTGGACTGTTCAAGAGGAAGTGCTATGAACTTGTGCGTAGGTAGCTGGCTCACTTTTGAAATCAATAACCTTTGCCCTCCATATTCTTTTCATATACTTCTGCTGTTCAGAATACTTGGAAATTGAATTAAGTGGAAATTCTGTAAATATGTATGAGGAAAGCAAGCTTACTTTTGAAATTTATACCATTTGTCTTCAGTTCACATCACATCACAGTAGTTACTCTATACAGGGTACATTTCTCATTTCTTTTGCTATCTGAGCAAGAGAACTAGCCAAATTAGTTAACTATTTAGAATACCTAGTGTTCTGTTCAGTTTCCTTGATCTTACTGCCTTTTTAGGACAGATCAAGTAGAATTTTCGTTGCACTGAAATCCTTAATTAAAGAATCATTAGCTTTCCTCTGTCAACAGACAGAGGAAATGGTCCATTTTTAAATACTCAAAAGTTCATATTATGCCATCAACTGCTGTAGTCATTAGAAACAGTATGCCTCTAGATTCAGGCTAATGCAGCATCAATCATTCAAAAGAAACCAATTATCTGATGGAGTAAGAAGTAAGTGCTATCTCTCCCAGCACCTCTTACTAAATTGTAGGTCTGCTTCATATTGGAGCAAGAACACTAAAAGGCTTTTGTGAATAGATATTAAGTGCCCAGTACAACACTTATCCTAATAGGACCCTAGAGGGTGTTCCAAATAGGATCCCTTACTCTACTTATTTTAAACTCAAGAATTTAAAATGAAATACAATTCTTTATTTGAAATAGGTAAATACATTTTTAATAATTTAAATGTGACCTGAGGAATCAAATGCCAAAGGAGGCAATTTGTTTACATTTAGTGTTAGATATATAGGTGGCACTTTTTCCATTTAGAAATATGAATTTTGTAATTATAGACCCCAAAAATCAACATTTTTTTCCTCATAGTTATTCTTAGTATGAAATTAGCACACATGAATTTGCAGTATTTTAAAATTCAGACCTCACAACAGTCCACGGTTAAGTTCTAACAGAGTATCTTCTATAACACGTGTTGGGAATAGTTCTTCTCATGTTCTCTCTTGGCAGACAGATCGATAATGGAGACACTTGGTTTGTGTATTAGGTATCTGCTGTGGGTATGTGATCCCAGGTCAGGATTTTGTTCCGGATTCTCATTAAGCTTTGCAAACCATCTGCTCCCAAGTACATGGTCAGAAATAAAAAGGCCAAGCAGCATTTACCTCAGTCTGCCTAAGGGAAGGTCAGGCGTCACAGGTGTGCTGGGACTCACTTCTTTCTACATGTCTGCTTTTAGCTGATTCTATTTTTAAACCATGTTGGAACTAATTCTAAGTCTTAAAGGTTGGCTGACAATTTTATCTTTGAGTTATTTAATTTTACTTAAATTGCCCAAAAGCTTCCTTGATGTGTTGAGTGCCTTTTCCTCCTGCTCTTATTCTAGTACTTTCTCTCAGTTTTCAGTGCTTAGAGGAAAACACAGGTTGTGTGAATTCCTTTCATTTATCACTTCTGTTCTTTGTTGTCACGTTTACATTTTTAGGTTAAATCTCCGTGAACTTGGACCCCTGGCATCTCATATGCGTTGGTTCATCTGGCTCATGGCAGCTGGAGGAACCATTTATGTATTTCTCTACCATGAAAAGTAAGAGAAAATAATTTACATTTGATAGTTGTAAAATTAACTGCTGAAATTTTACCTGCATTGCAATACTATTAGTCCTTCAGAATAGTAGAAATACATAAATAGAGTATATATTATTTTTTAATAAATCTTCAAAGCCATTTGGTATTTGTTATTGGTGGACAGATTGCTGCGGAAAGACAAGGATGGCACATGTGTGGTATGATGTAGTTGAGGGACAGTGTGGTCAGTCATTTTGGAGACCTCATTTCTTATGAGGCAAACTGGCCTGATCCTCTGTGATTCACAGTCATCACATGAGAAAAATAGCCACTTTCCAAGGTTCCTATGTAGATTGAAGATAATAGATAATAAGTGTCTAGCACAGTATTTACCTAAAGAGGAACCTAGCAGATACTCGAGATGGGATTCCTTGAGAAAAGGGATGTTTAGAAGGACATCTGAGCTCTTAATATCCTAGCCCTGGGGCACAGTTTTTTAACTCATTATTCATCCGTCATAGTCATAGGTATTGAGCAATATAAAATGAAAGGTTTATTGAAATTTAGCATCTTTTTTCTGGAAAAAACCTTCAACGTCATCTATTCTAGCTTCATGCTTAAAAAACGAGACCATTTAGGACATGCATTAAATTAGTGACTCATCTGGAAGTTAGGACCCAAGTGTCCTAGTTCTTATTCCATTGCCCTTCTCATTACCCTATATGCTTGAATTTGAGAAACACAATCATGAAATCATTATCATTGGATTAACTAATTTACGGTTCATTAAATTTGTTATCTATTGTAGTTAGCTGAATGGCTCTCAGAATTGAACATAATTTGTGTTTATCAGAAAGTATTAAATTGTTTTCCTCTTTCAGAATAAAATAGTAGTTTTCATTAACTTGGAGTTATTTAATTTCACTTTGAAATTCACCTTTTTGACCATAATTAGCAAAACAGAGAGGTATTATACAGTATATATAAATCCATGGAAACAGTTTGCTTCTTGGGCCCAAACCCTTAATTTATATTCTTGGATAGAATGGGAAGTAAAGTAAGGCAGCTATCTTTTCTTCTATTCTAGGGCTTCTGGTATAAATCAAACCCATAAACCCATTCTTCCCCTGTACGATTATTTCACACTAGGCTTTCAGTATAAAACATGAAGAATGAGGTGTGAGTTACCCTTGGCCATTGAGTTTGGCAGACATTAGGGAGTACCTTAGTCATGTCAGGTACTGTTCTAGGCCCTGCAGATGCAAACATAAATAAAACTTGGTCCTTGCGTTTGAGGAGGTTATAGACTAATTTGAGTAGGCAGAAATGTTAAGTTGAATTTCAGTACAATGTGTTTCTTAGGGGCTTCAGATATTCTGTAGCCTATTGTGATGAGCCTTACAAATTAGAGTTTGCACATATACAAAATAAAGAGACAAAAATATATGCCCTCTCCTTAGGGGTACCATTTCTTTGTCACTGATGAACTAGGTCCCAAGCTGTATCCCCGTGCACCTTCAGAATTTTATTTATAGCTCTAGATTGAAATGGTAATAAGGCAAAAATTCTAGGACTGAAAGGGGAAAAAAATGCAAATGATAACTACTTTTGGCAACAAACATTTTCTGGGTAGCATGTGGGGTTTGATGGCTTTTCAGTTCTGCATTACATGTTAGTTCATTGTTATTCAACTACTGTATTTTAGTTAGAGGCCTAGTGGTTTCCTACTGGGAAATACATTTTATTTGAATAGTTAAGAGTTTACATTTCTTTTTCAAAAGAAAAGCTGATATATAAATGATTAAGTGTTATAGAAATATATAAATTAAATTAACTATACTTCTGTTCCTGCAGATATAAAGTGGTTGAACTCTTTTTCTATCTCACAATGGGATTTTCTCCAGCCTTGGTAGTGACATCGATGGTAAGATATAGCTTCATAATTTTAGCTGTTTTCTTTTAAATTGCTGGGACTCAATATGATATGTAGCTCTTCTTTCCAAAGTTATGACATGTCCATTAACTAGAGATTCAACAGAAAACAGAAAAATATATATATAAATAACGAAGTGTGTCAGCAGCTTGTACCAGGTACTTTGAACAGTTTAGAAAAGCTATAAATGTTTCTCTATTTATGATGCTTTTTTGTATTTATTTGTTTCTCTTGGATGCCCTTTCTGTTTTTCATCCCACGTCACCCCGACCCTTTCTCCCGAATAGGTATGTGATTATATGAAGGCCGGTGTTTCTGATTGAATTACTTAGCTACATAACCCTGAATCTGTGGGGGAGGGTAAATTTTAAAATTTCCTATAATGAAGAAAATACAAACTACCAACTTCTCAACTCTCAACAATTAGAAGGACCTTAAAAGGTCATTTGCTTCAACATTCTGTTGGTTATTTTTCAAATCGCTTCACTTTTTTCCTTTCACTTGCTTTTAAGTCATACTATTTCTCTTCTAGGAAAAGCCCCCTCCCCTTTTTTTTACTTTGCTTGAAAATGTCTTTTGGTGACTTCTGTGGATAAAAGTGTAACATTAGCAATAAGAGGCAATTGCATGTATGTTTTGAGTTCCTTTTCAAATTGAATTACTATTGAGAAATCTATGTGTATCAGTCACTTTGAAACAAAAACATGTTATTACAACCTCATGGTCCCATCTACTTGGTTACTCTACCTTTAGCTTATGCACTCCAGTGTCTTATGTTCCACATTTTTTGGTCCTAGCCACTGTATTAATTAAGGAGGTCTCAGTGTGTTGAGTTTAAACTCTTCCTAGCCTGCAGTGATCAGAAGAACCGTATCTAGAATTTCATTCCTGAGCTCATAAGCACATTATAAAAACAGAAATCTATGATACAATTTTTGCCTTGGTTACAAAAACACCTGTAAAAGGTTTAGGAGTTACAACTCTGGTTCTGTTTTTTTCAGGGGATATGTCTTATGAGAATGTAACAGAATATGTTTCTTTGACATATGGGGTTTATGATGGCTTTAATAATTACCTAGCATCAAACATGCATACAGTCTAGTTGATAAAGGCAGCAGGGAATGGTGAGAAGAGGGAGGTGAAGGACTGAAGTGAGAAAACCGGCCTTGAAGGTCACATAGTTAGAGGGCATTTTAGGACACCCAAAGCAAGATAAGCAAGGTCTATGTAGATAGGTTACTAATTATTAGAATAGAATTTCAAGTAAATTTCCTCTGGGTATCACAAGAGCAGGTTTATCCAGTATTTTTACTGGCCTAAATCTTTAGTTGGCATTTCCATAAGTGGTACAATAGCAAGTGACTAATGTTTATGATAATCAAGCAGGGTAATCCCCACACTGCCCTCACAGAACTTAGAATCAAGCAGGCACATACAAGGCATATTAAATAAGAAGGTATAATGAAATATTATAATGTCTTTGACTGGGGAAAGTTCCAGCCACCATGGCAGCACATGGCAGAAGTACCAGAGGAAGTGATATTTAAGTTGATTCAGAAAATCTGGGAGAAGCTGAGAGCTGGTAGAGGTGAGGCAAGTGTTGCAGGTATAGAACACAACATGAAGGAAGCAGAGAGTGGGGAAACACCAGCTACTTTGAAGAATTGAAAATAGTTCAGTTTGGAACGTAGTGCACGTACCTGCTTGAGGTACATATGCACGGTGAGGATAGGTGATAAAGCTGGACAGCTAGACAGAGTCCAGATCAGAAAGGACCTCATAAGCCACCTGAACTAACAAAGTGACGATATGAATGAAGACAGAGCTGTGGTTCTGGCCAGAATCGGGGGTATCAAACTTATTTTTCTGCCATGAAAAACTGTAAAACTGGAAGAAGAATGGAAAAGCAAGTGACTTTTGGCATTGAACACAGACAGTACAGGATTGGATTGTGATCCTTGAGGTAAGAGAAACCAAAAATTGAGCTTCAAATTCATCTGAGTTGTTTCCCTAAAGACATTTTCCAAACAACAAAGAAGGAAGAGGAGCCCAGAGGGCAGCAGTCTGGGTGGAAGAAACAGAAATTGGCACTTCAGGCCACTGAGACAGTTGCAGTTCGTGGGGCTTCAAAAATCTGCAAAGGCCTTTCCTTGAGTGTTAGCCCAAATATCAAGCTGAATTTTCTGCTGGGCAAAACTCTGCAAGCCCTGGCCAAGAATAACTATTTGAAAGCTGGGAGATCAGTGGAGAAACATTGGATTTCCAACCAGCCAGAGTAAAGAGACATTGCTGGACAGCCCAGGCATTCATTTGACCCTACCAAGGCCACATCTTAGGAGTAAAGCTACTCTAACCCTAGAGTGAGGGCTACTCTAGAACTGCCGTAACAAAGTCCAAAACAAACCTTAATAGGATAAAATTGTTCTTCCAGTAGATAAACTGCCTACCAGAACAAAACTCAACAGCCTTTAAGGGAAAACAACAAAATCTACACTCTAACAACTTGGCATCCACCATCTAGATAAATATTGCCAAATAGGCAAGAAGCAAGAAAATGATGCACTCCTAAGGAAAAACAGGTTCATAGAAACAGACCAAAGGTGATAGAGATCTTGAAATTTGCAAAAAGGACTTTAATGAGTAAACAGATGAGGAATCTCATTTTTATAGTCTCTATGAATGAAGTCTATAAAGAAGAATCCAAATGGAAATTCTAGATCCAAAAACTGTGATGTCTTTTTTTTTTAATTATTATGGGTACATAACAGTTGTATATCTTTACAGGGTACGTGCGATGTTTTTAAACAGGTATATGGTATGAATTAATCAAATTAGGGTAATTGAGGTATTCATCACCTCAGGCATTTATCATTTCTTTGTGTTAGGAACATTTCAATTCCACTTTTTTAGTTATTTTAAATAATACCCCGACATATTGTTGATTACAGTCACTCTGTTGTGCTATCAAATACTATTCATTCTATTAATAACTATATTTTTGTACCCATTAACCATCCCTACATTATCCCCCGTTTCCTGTTACCCTTCCCAATCTCTGGTAACCATCATTCTGCTGTCTGTCTCCATGAAATCAATTCTTTTAATATTTAGCTCCCACATGAGTGAGAACATGTGAGATTTGTCTTTCAGTACTTGGCTTATTTCATTTAATGTAATGTTCTTCAGTCAATCCATGCTTTTGCAAATGGCAGGATTTTATTATTTTTGTGGCTATATAATACTCCGTTGTGCATATGTACCACAATTTCTTTATCCATTCATCCATTGATGGACACTTAGGTTGATTCCAAATCTTGGCTATTGTGAATAGTGCTACAGTAAACGTGGGAGTGCAAATACCTTTTTCAATATACTGAATTTCCCTCCTTTGGATGTATACCCAGCAGTGGGATTGCTAAGTCATATGGTAGTTCTATTTTTAGTTTTTGAGGAACCTCCATACAGTTCTCCATAGTGGTTGCACTAATTTACATTCCCACCAACAATGTACAAGGATTCCCCTTCTCAACATCCTTGCTAGCATTCATTATTGCCTATCTTTTTAATAAAAGCCATTTTAACTGGGGTGCAATGATATCTCATTGTAGTTTTGATTTGCATTTCTCTGGTGACTAATGATGTTAAACATTTTTCATATACCTGTTGGCCATTTGTACATCTTCTTTTGAGAAATGTCTATTGTGACCCTTCATCCATTTTTTAATCAGATTATTTGATTTTTTCCTATTGAGTTGTTTGAGCTCCTTAAATATTCTAGTTATTAATCCCTTGTCAGATGGGTAGTTGGCAAATACTTTCTCCCATTCTGTGGGTTGTCTCTTCATTTTGTTGATTGTTTCCTTTGCTATACAGAAGCTTTTTAGCTTGATGTGATCCCATTTATTTAATTTTGCTTTGGTTGCCTGTGCTTTAGGGGTATAACTCAAGAAGTCCTTGCCCAGACCAGTGTCCTAAAGCATTTACCCAATGTTGTCTTTTAGTAGTTTCACAGTTTCAGGTCTTAGATGTAAGTCTTTAATCCATTTTGATTTGATTTTTTTTGTATATAGTGAGAGATCAGGGTCTAGTTTCATTATTCTGCATATGGATATCCAGTTTTTCCAGCACCACTTATTGAAAAGACTGTCCTTTCCTCTTTGTATGTTCTTGGCACCTTTGTTGAAGATAAGTTCATAATAGATGTGTGGATTTATTTCTGGATTCTGTATTTATTCCACTGGTCTATGTGTCTTTTTTATGCCAATACCATATCATTTTGGTTACTGCAGCTCTGTAGTATAATTTGAAGTCAGGTACTGTAATTCGTCCAGTTTTATTCTTTTTGCTCAGGATAGCTTTGGGTCTTCTGGGTCTTTTGTGGTTCCTTATAAATGTTAGGACTATTTTTTCTATTTCTGTGAAGAATGCCATTTATATTTTGATGGGGATTGCATTGAATTTGTAGATTGTTTGGGGGAGTATAGTCATTGAAAACTGTGATATCTTGAGAAAAAAAATTATTTGAGAAGTTTAACACATACAAAATACTGCAGAAGAAAAGGTCAGTGAACTTGAAGCCAGTTCAGTAGAAACTATATAAATGGAAACATAAGAGAAAAATGAGAATTTAACAAAAGAAGAGAGAGAGAGGTTGGTGCAGTTTTTTAAAAAAGAATTAATAGTTACAACTTTTCCATGTTTGATGAAAAATATCAACCCACAGATCCAAAAAGCAAAATGGAGCCTGAGCAGGATAAAGAAAACTACACTTGGCTCATCATAGTCCAATTACTAAACAAAGAAGAAAAAAATCTTTAAATCAGCCAGACAGAGGGAAAAAAAACAAACAAACAAAGAGAGAAGAATGACTACTGACAGCTCATCAGAATCAGTGGGAGCAGGAATACAGTGTAATAGCACCTTTAAAATGCTAAAAGGAAAAACAAAAACCTGTCAAATTCAAGCTGAGGCTAGCCCAGCTTAGTGATGCTAATGTCAAAAATAAACTGAGTGCCAGAAATGCTGCATTTGTGAGTTAATACTGAAGACTTTCATTTCTTAATTTCTTCAAAAGATAATGTAGGGGTTTATAACTTGTAGAAGTAAAGGATATGATAACAAAGGCTGGGGGTGGGGAAGTGGAAGTACACTGTTGTAAGGGTCTTAACCTCCTGTAGGGAGATATAATAATAAAGATATATTGTGATAAGTTAAGGATGCATTTTGCAATCCATAGAATAATCACTCCCAACAACAAGAACGACAACAAACAAAACCCAAAATAAATGGTATAGTTAATTAGCCAAGAGAAAAGATAAAATGGAATACCAAAGTTACACAGTTTAATCTAAAAGAAGGCAGAAGAAAAATAGGAAAAAGGCCACAAAGAATAATGAAACCACATAGAAAACAATTGTCAAGATGAGAAGCTTGAATACAACAATAATTATGTATGTGATATATAATAACAATTGAAATGGACTGAATACTCCAATTAAAAAGTGGAGATTTTCAGACTCGATTTAAAAAGTTTTCTCATCTGTAAAATTGGGATAATAATAGTACCTAACCTAAGGTTGTGTGAAGACTAAATGAGTAAATACATGAAAGTGCTTCAAACAGTGCCTGGTACATAGTAACAATAACGGTAGTGATAATGAAAAAATAAAAACATTGTTTATTTGTTTTAGAAGTAACTATTAATGTATTCTACTTCTTTGAAAGTCGATAAGGTAAATATGTTGTCTTGAGGAACTAGCTATTCACAGAATGTGTCAACACCAGCCTGTGTACTTAGTTTGGTCTCTTGCTTGTTTTGGCAGAAAGGAAAAAAGAATGGTATCTTTTGGGATGGTGAACAGCTATGAGACTTTGTTCAGGCCACTTCACTTCTCTGCCTTAGTGTCTTCTCCTCCAAAATGAGATTGTATTAAATGGGTGACTTTTACCATTTGGGAGTCCTGCGCCTCTTTGAAAATCTGACTGTCTTAACCCTCTTTTGGAAAAATGCTCCTAATGCACACACACAGAGAATGTTGTTAACGGGGTATTAATTGCTCTGTAACCTTGAAGAAGTAATAAATGTGTGTGGTATTTTGTTTTTGTTTTTATTTTTTAAATAAAAATAAATCTAGCTGAAGTCTCTTCTTACTAAGGCTAGGGAGAAATTTCCTATCAGTCCATTTGGGTTGGCTCCTTCCCCATCTTTGATCCTACAAAAGCCATGGGGGCTTACATGAACTTCGAAAATAGATGCTCACACGTGGTCCTTAGCTCATGATGGTCTATTGTTGCCCCTGTTTTTAGTGTAGGCCCATGGGACCCATTCAAAGTAGGTGACTGAATTAGAGCTTCCCTTTGCTCTTGCTGAGCTTGGCCACAGAGACATGCTCCAAGGCTCACAAGGCTGCTGCCATCAGTGCCCAGGCCTCTGGGATAGCCGCACACCTGTCCCCTTTCAGGCCCCTTCCATGATCTGGCTTAGGTTTCCACCCACCCTGCAGAACCTGTCTCCTTTCTATTCCTAGTACTCAGGAATCCAGAGAACGGACTTCATCCGCTTCTAAGCACTGCCTCTATCTCTCCCTTCTCATTCACACAAACCAGTTTAATCTTGTAGATGGGTCTACGTCTTAAAAAACTAAGAACAGCCTAAAAAAATTCTCTCTCTTGTCCTAAAACACACAAGACTAGTTAACTTCTCAATTAGCTAAGAAATGCCCAGGCTCAAAGACCAAAGGACCTAGAGACATCTAGAAGGTTAGGTAATACCTTGTACTTTATGATCTATGATCTCAGAGGTCACTTCTAGCTATGATTTTCCTGTGTCAGCCTTAAGGAAGCTGTAAGTTCATTCACACAAGCAGGGGAAATAAAAAGAAAAAAAAAAAAGTGTAGAACAATGTTTGAGAAGGACAAAAGGAAGTGAAAACCTTGGCTGAGATGTAAATTATAAATAGAGTGGCGTGGGTCTGCCTTTTAAAGACAAAGATGAGAAGTGAAGATTGTACTTTATTAAAATGAACTTCCGTGTTTTGCTATGATTACAGTCTGTTTAAATGTGCTGTAAATGAGCAGAACATGCTTTTTTGTGTGGGCCCTGTAATGTGACTGCTTGGTCACATCGAGAATGTCAATCCAAAGGGTAATTAAGGTCGACATGTGAGGGACTTTTTTTCTTGTTGTTTGGTTCATGTTTACACATCAGGATTCTGTTCACACAGCTTCTTATCTAGAAAATCAAGAGCTTTAGGGGACATTACGTTATCTCTGTAGCTTGTCACATCAGAGTAACATCAAACCCTTATTATTTTTTTCCTCTGTTAACAGAATAACACTGACGGACTTCATGAACTTGCCTGTGGGGGCTTAATTTATTGCTTAGGAGTTGTGTTCTTCAAGAGTGACGGCATCATTCCATTTGCTCACGCCATCTGGCACCTGTTTGTGGCCACGGCAGCTGCAGTGCATTACTACGCCATTTGGAAATACCTTTACCGAAGTCCTACAGACTTTATGCGACATTTATGACCAGTCTGTACTAGGTCTCCAAACCAGTATTATTTCAGTTATAGCACTTGGGAGTGGGGTAAGAGCTGAAAATTGCACAGGGAAAGGAAAAAAAAAGAAGACAGCTGCACTGACTTCCTTTATATCTTTTGACTATAATTACTGTGAAAGTATAAAAGCTGTGTTCTGGAATTTTCCCCCTCACAGCAAATAAAGCAGTGAATTAATTTTCATTCCATTCCACTATCATGAAGGACTCTGGATAGGCTTGGCCAACTGATGTTTACAAACCAGAATTTTGTATTTTAATTTTACAGATTTTACTACATGATTTTTCTAAATTACTAGGTCAGGTTGTAAAAGTCAGTGCAATAACAAAGCTTCCTTTTTAAGAAAAAACTTGTTTCACTTTCCCATTCGCTGTGTAAAGAATCATGGACAGAACTTACACTACTTTTTACCATGTTTCATCTTGGCATAACATGGTTATTTTTTAAATAGAAACTTTAGTTTTTTGTAAATTTTTACAAAATCTTTCATTGAAATGCATCTCTGCAGTTCCTCATTCATGTTGTGAATTTTTGCAGCAAGCAGTCAACATTCCACAAATGAACAAACATTATACCTCTTCCGATAGTTTTATTAAGCATGGAGAAATTGCCAATTTTTAAAAACTGCAGTTTTCCAAACTTTTCTGCCAACCTCTAACTCTGAATTCAGTGCTGCTTTGGGATATATACTTGACCTAGCTTGGTTTACCAGTGATGGAAAAGTATTTTGATATCATTAACTTTTTCAAAAGATCCAACTTTTTCTCTATGCCTTTGCCATGTTTTCTTCAGGGTCTCGGCGACAGTGGATGAGTGTGCTGTCATATTATGGTAGGATTGTTGGGTGGGCTCTCTGCTGAAAACCCCTGAAGAGCAGCATGAATTACAGTGAAAGTTGTATTGCCTGTTTGGTGCCCAATGGCTAAGTCATTGTCACTTAGCTTTATATATCAGTTTGATATTTATTTTAAATTGTGGAATTAGATACATAAATTCACATTTCTACCTTTCCTCTGTATCTCCCAATATACTATTTTTTTTAATAGAGAAAAATATTTAATGTATTGTTTGACAGGTAGAGACTCATGTGTCTGTAGTCCATGAGTTATATCCTGGCTCAATGGAGTGGTATTTATGCATTATTTTTGGTTTTCCTTCAGTGTCTTATATTAAGATTAATGTATTAGTTGCTTTGTTGGTTAATCTCACTTGTTGGTGTTTTAATAAATGAAATAGGCTTGTCTTTTGATCAGGTGCTGATATTGTTTGTTTTCAATTGATTGTCAGTTTGACGAAGATTTATCAATTGAAATTTTGTACTGATATGGCTTTATAAAAGGATTTATTTTGTGTGCATGTTTAGAACTCTGATTTTGGTGAGTCATATGGGAATGAGGAACAGAAGAACTGGTATTTGCTGGGTGAGTTCTGAAATAGGCAAGGTACCCAGTGACAACACCAACCAGCTCACCCCTATCTGCATGATTCTGAACATCTGGATGCTTGTTGTGTTACTGTGTATATTTTATTTTTAATATATTAACTTTTTGTGGATTCATTTAAAGTCTGCTCAAAAGTAACACTGTCAAAACCACTAAAATATATGTAAAAATTGTGCTGTAAACTACAATAAAGTTGTTACTTGGATTTGTTCCACTGTCTCTATATTAGACCACTGTGAAAATAATACTACAAATTTGAAAGCTTGAGCTCATCTAGCATTTGTACTTTGTGTATGAGCCCATTTTTTTAAATCAAAATGGAAAGAAAAACAAATATACCCTGTCACTTAGAACTTTCTAGTCTGCTTTTTAATAATTGAAATGCCAGAGCCAGCTACAACATTAATCAGTATACATTTCCAGTTTAAAATATGTTAGTCAGGGACTAAAGATTGTAAAAGTTTTGTAGATGATGTGTGTTTATCAAGAGAAGCCTTTTGGTTTAGCCTATATATCTAGGACTCAGGTTACAGGCTTCTATATTACCAACCAGACATATGCCAGATTATAAACCGAACAACTCTGAGTGTCATGTCATTTTCTGTCTTCTATAGTGCAGGAAACCAGGGTCAGGTTTAATTGCTTCATCCCAAATCAGGGAGCTGGCACAGGAACCCATCTCTTTCCAATTCCAAAGCCTTCCGTTCACCACATACCACGGCATTTCCAAAGTCAGCAAAAACAAATAAAAAATCTTGAACTGAAAATTCAGCAGTCATGGATATGGAAAGGAAAACACTGTTCATGCATTTTAGAATCTCAGTAAACCCTCAGCCCTCTGTCAAATCTAATTTTGAGGATTGAGTATCTTGAAGAGTTATTATTCCCAAGAATTCTGTCCTCTAATTCACCAGGGTGACCTCATCCATTTCCAGGGTGTCTACACACTACTGTGCTGTCACTTCCTGATCAATATCTCCAGCCTAAAACAATTTTCAGGCTTGGTGGCTTTCCTAGCACCCTGTGAGGCTGAGACAGGAGGATCGCTTGAGGTCAGGAGTTCAAGACCAGCCTCATCAAGAGTGAGACCCCCGTCTCTACTAAAAGTAGAAATTAGCCAGACAACTAAAATAGAAAAAATTAGCTGGGCATGGTGTCACACACCTGTAGTCCCAGCTACTTGGGAGGCTGAGGCAGGAGGATCACTTGAGCCCAAGAGTTTGAGGTTGCTGTGAACTAGGCTGATGCCACAGCACTCTAGCCCAGGCAACAGAGTGAGACTGTCTCAAAAAAAAAAAAAAAAAATTCTAAGTACCACACCTCTCTCATCAACTGCCTACATACCCCCAGTCATATTTACTCAGCCTATCCCAAACTGAGTTCATTATCTTTCCTCCTACCACCAGAACCATTTCTCTGAAATTGCCTATCTTAGTTAAATGCCATGGCCACAGCTATCCGGCCACCCTCAATTTCTCGCCACACCCCCCACCCTACCCTCCATCCAACAAGTCAACCAGAGCTGTCACCTCCGCTTTAGGCACAACCCCCTGATCTGGTTCCTCACCTCTCTTCCCACTGTGAGGCCCTAAAAAGACCTAGTTAGCAGTCATCAGACTACTGCAGCCACCTCCTCGTTTGGATCCTTGCCACCGCTTACACCCCTCAAGTGAGCTCATCCACCACACTGCTACCAACAGTATCTTCCTAAAATAAAACCTGAGCATGTGTCTCTCCTGCTTCAAAACTTCCACTGACTATTACCCTGTAAGACTCATGCCAAACGCCTTAGCATGGACTCTTCACATGGGGATGCCTGCTGATCTGCCCTCTCCCCAGCTGAACCTTGCTGGAAATCAGTCCCACTAGTGATTGTCACAGCCTTCCCCCACAACGCACATGCCCTCATGGTGCTTTTGCAACTGCTTTTTCTGTACCTGCTGTTCCTCGGCCTGGGATGCCAGCCCCTCTCCTGGCTGGCAAACAGTTGCTCATGCCAGACCTCCATCAGGTGCCACCCAGGCTTGTGGCGTGGACCCAGGCCCCATGCATGGGTAGCAGTGCCCTCCTCTTTAACTGCACATCACTGAGACTGGCACTACACGGTTTTAAGGCAGAGACTGAGTCGCATCTACTTCTGTTTTCAGCTTCTAGCATAGCCTGGGCCCCACAGTAGGAGTTAAGAAGGTTTGTTGAATGAATTAAGAGAGAGTGGGGTGTGTTTGGAGGATGGTGTTGTGGAGGAGAAATACTAAGAATAAAGCATGTTTTAGGACATACTTGGGCTTTTAGCAAGTTTATCTTGTGCATCCTGAGTACTGAGCCCAACTCTTACTGGGTAGAACCTTTCAGCTTCTTTGACCTTGGTGGCTTCCCTGACCAAGGGTCAGCAACCTTCATAGCAACCACAGGAAAGTTGATGAGAAACTGGAGTGTAAATATTAGACAATGTGTCCTAAATAAGGAAAAGTCAAGCTTGTTTATTGATGTTTCCATACAACCATGAACAATTTACAGAGTTATTTGGGAAAAAATAATTACTTGGCCTGCTCTATTTCCCTCTGGTCCTCTTTTCTGAACATAATAATAAAATAAACCAAAACAATGTTCTGTAACGCTTGAGTGTTAACGTAGATTATATTCAGAAAACAACTTTAAGAAATTTTAAAATATTTCTTATATCTTTACTCCAGAAATCATGCAACTATATAAAACACTTTGGAAAATTTAAAAAAAGCTAAAAATTAACTAGCGTTCACTCATCATAATACATTTTAATATACTTTCTGTCAATCTTTTTTGCCTATATTTATTATAAGATTTTGTTTTTGTCTTATACAGGTATAAATATACCATTTGCTTATTATATCATAATCATTTGAAAATATTAGTTTCATCTTTTAGAACTAGATATACAGCTTATTTTGCTTATTCATTCATCTAATTTTTGATATATAGCTTATTTTGCTTACTCATTCATCTCATGTTTGGTTTTGGGTTCTTTTAAATTTTTATTCTAACCAATGCTTCAGTGAGCATAAGGCTTTATCCATATTATGACTGGGTTTTAAAGTAATAATATAAACAATTGTTTCTTGTATATCAGGTACTGTGCTAGTTTACACGGGTTACCTCATTTCATCTTTATAAAAAACCTTAGGTAGATAATTTTCTTATCCCCATTTTACAGATGAAGAAACAAGCACAGAGGAATGAGTTTCCTTGCCCGAGGGAAGTGGCAGAGCCCAAGCAAACCCAGGAAACCTAGAATCTATTTTCATTCTCAAGAGTGCAATTCCTGGGTCAAAGGTTTATTAATATGTTTACCCAAAAGAAGACCTTTTACAAAATAAAGCTCATGCCAATCCTCCACATTTTTACTTGGTGTCTTCAGTTTACGTCTGCTCTTCTCGTGTGCCAAGTAGATGGAGAATGGAATAGGAAAATCTCCAAATGAAACTGACCTCGAAGAAGCTGGTTCACCTCCCTCCTTGTGAAGCAGATTAAAGTTTCCCAAGAGGACCTGTGGAATGGTTTTAGTTTAACAAGGTTAGAATTACTGCATTCATGTCTTTCCGCTGCTTTTGCTATTTTAAATAGACAGTGCCAATATGCTCTCACATTCTGTGCCATTCCCACCTACATCCCTGCAATGCATCAGTGGTGTTATTTTTCCAAGAAACGGTGCCACTGTGCACTCCAGCCGCTTTGCAAGGGACGTTAGGCTATTCTCCTCGGAGTCCTGTTCAACACAACAGAACACTTTCTCATTCTGCTGCACAGCTCATTATCACTCAGACTGTCGGCGCTGCACAGTCGTTAAGTCAAAATAGACTGGCAAGGCCTGGGGGTGGGGGGTAGTTTGGGAAAATATGCTTTGGGGCCTTGCCCTACCTCCTGGGAGAGGTCACAGGTCCTTTGCTGTCCTGTGCCAGGCCACACTGAACACACCTGATCCACCGTGTCAGTCACTGCAAAGGTCAAGAAAACGTTTTGATCACAAGGATTTGGTTCTCTTAAAGCGGCATCAGTGTTTCCTGAATTTCATCTGTGAGCTGTGCGTTGAGTCAGTGTGGAATCAGACAACCTGCGACAAATTGGTCGGGTGGGCTCAGGCAAGTTAGGTGTTACCTTTGGGCCTCTGTTCCTGTCTGCGAAAGGGGTACACCACCTCCCTCCCAGTGCAGCCGTAGATATTAAATAATAAATGCAAAGTGTCTAGTTTATGCATTCTGGCATATAATTCCTGCTGGGTAAATATTCTAGTGCTTTCTTTCCATATGGACAAGCTTTTAAAAATTATGGTTATAGCCCATCTGGGGAGATTTTTTCATGTAGAAACAACCTGAAGGAACCGTTCAGTATGCCTCTTAAAATTGTTTTCTGCGTTTTCTAGCTCTTACAAATGGTCCTGGATCCAACGATGGCCAAGGCTAAACTGAGACATGTCATCGCAGGCTTCATAATAACTTTGCATCCTTTTTAACGAATATTCTTTAAATAGTAAACATTTCTTTAGACAAGACCCTGAGTATTCCTGGAAAAAGGGTAGAAAAGGAGGAGGCCGGAGCAGTTCTCCTCCTGTGCCCAGATGGCAGCTATTAATACATCCTCCACTTAGCAAAACAAAAGGCCTTCAGTTAACTGGACCCACGCTCTGTCACACTGGACAGCAATTTGGTCATCATCTGCTGTGACCTGAGCATGCCTCCTGGGAGACTCATACCCACCAGACTGACCGTGAGTGGCTTATTGAAGAATTCCTTCTAGCTGCAGCCCTAGAATGTCTTCTCCACTTTGTTTCTTTCCCAGCAATTGTTGTAGTATCCCTTATTCACATATTCCTTCAACACATGTTTATTGGGTATCAGTCATGTGCCAGGGACTGGTGTAGGCTCTGGGGATACTATAGTGAAATTAAAAAAAAAAAAAAAAAGATCATACTCTTGCCTGTTGCTCAATCTAGATGATTCTCTGTCCCCTACTCGCTTAATCTGGATTTGATGCTTTGTCGAGCTTTTGTTGATCAGTTTTTTGACACCATCCAGACAGGTGCCTGTGGCCAGCTTTCCCACAAGGGTGCCTGACTCGGTGTAACCCATTTGTGCATCTGTTACGCTGTGTCTCCCAATGACCTGTTTGAAAATTGGCCCTTATTTTTGAGAGCACCAAAGCAGCTTATTATTTAAAGGAACCTGTGGGGAACTCTGCTTT